CGAGACTGTCTGATTACTATCTTGTATGTTTTGTAATGCTCTTGTTGCCCCGTCCAGTCCATCCGTGTACTGATCACACTCCTGCTGCACTGTCGAAGTTCACTGGGCCTGCCTAAGACTCACGGCTGTAGACAAGGTGTGGTTTCTCGATCGGTTTAGCTGACCCAAAGTCGTCCTCCATCACAGCTGTACCATCCGAGCGATCGACAAATGAACCCGATAGATGGTGTGATTTTCGGGCCGGCTGAGCAGGAGGATAGGTTCCGAATACGATGCTGCCTAAATGTTGATAGAGAATTACAAGAGAAGGCATTCGAGAACACCACCCCAGTTGGCTTAGTCGCGGATTGACGAGGACCGGGCGTATGGCAATCACAGCTCATTGGTCAGATCCGAACATCATGTCAGAATGAGTGAAGCGGTCAGACCCATCTACACGCTCACCAGGGTGAGTTCGAAGCAAGTCAAGCATCGCTTGCCATCAACAGCCGAAGCGATCGCGATTCCGATGAACCACTCCCACCGTGTGCATTCAGTCGGAGCATTGAAGTTACCATGACGCTAGAGCGACATAAAGCGGGTTATCAACTAAGTGTCAAGCTGTTCATGTATCTTATACATTAAGCATAAGCTCAAGTTGTTTGGTTGACCCCGTCGGTTGTCACAGGTGCACGTAGTGTTCAAGCCTCCTAGCGATGTCACTATGTGGTACAAATTTCTCAACCTACCGTTGAAGCGCGAGGTATACAGTTGGGAGATGTGCCTTGAACACACACCTCAATACCCAAGGGATATCTTGACCTTTTATTGTAGACATAAGCGTCTGTTATGCGTCAATTCCGCCGACCCATCAGCCAATCACGTTTTGCCGTGATTCTCTGACACCAATACATCATTTTGACACAAATTCACATCATTTTAGTGAGCAGTTTGCAAACTACAACTTTTGCCACTTCGCTGAGGGCACACAGAGTACGTTTCGTAATGACCACTCATCACGGAAACCCTATCCAAAAGACATCCGTCAGCGAGTTTCGACAACCTTTGACAAGGATGAGGACTGGAAGAGTGTTGCTACCGCTTTTGGTGTGCATCAGCGTACAGCTAACTGTTGGGTACATGCTCGGGAGAAAGGTTATATAGCTGAAGTTAACGGTGGAGCTTGGAGACGCAGTTTGTGTGAAGCTAAAGTGGATCAACTGGTTAAGTGGATCAGTGAAGGTTGCACACTTTCTTTAGAAACGCTGCGATTAAAATTGAAGGCCGAATACGAAAGAGAGGTTTGTTGCAGTACGATTAGCAACTACCTGAGCAGCAGACTCATTACCATGAGGAAATTACACCCTATTTGCGAAACAATGAATTCGGAGCAAAACAAAACGAAGCGGAAGCTGTTCGTTCAAAACATAAAGCAAAACGAAACGATGAATAAGAACATGCTATGGATTAATGAGAGTAAGTTTGTGCCCTTAGTGCTTACATTTTCTTCCAGCAAATTTTAACCTGTTTTATAATCGGAGTCGTGGACGTGGTATGAGGGGACAGAAAGCACGTTGCACGGTTGCCAGCAGCAGAGGCAGAAACCTGAATATTATTGGTGCCATCTCAAAATACGGCTTGATAAATTATACGCTAAAGCGTGGCTCATTTACGAAAGAAATTTGGCTGCGGACCGTCCTCAATGATTTATCGGAGTTTGTCCGCAGGAATACGGTGGTTGTATGCGACAGTGCACGTTGTCATTTCGGCTTGGAGGCGATGCTTGATGAACTTGTATATTCCGGTGCCATATTACTGCACGAGCCTAGGTGATATCACGTCAGGTGCATGGGTTGTTTCATTTATTGTTTACCAATGTGTGATATTCATCAACTGATACTGTTTTCTTACAATAATAGTCAGCCAACTTGAATTTATTCCCAGACATCGTGATATGATATTGGGACAACTTGACTTGCAAAAGGTATACATAAGAACAACTGATGACCCGCGTAGAACAGAAGTAGTATATCACCGTTGTCTGGTCGCTGGGAGGGAAGAACGAAACACCCCCGCCGTCCTCTAGACCGGTCTCGGGTAGGTTCAGTTTCCAAGCTGCACGTTAAAATAACCTTCCAGCACAAACCGTCAGAACTACAGCTCAATCGGATGTGCTCAGTGAGTTTGTCGTAACTTTAATCCTTTTGTGAATTGGGACTGCAATTGGTCAGTGCATATGCAGAAATGATGAACAAGCATTTTTGGTGTTGCTTCCCTTCCGAACACTAACTGCATCATGGAGCCTCATTGCACATGAACAACCATTGACAGGTATCCAGTCTATCAGTGAGACCACAGCTTTAACGCTTAATACGATTCCTACTCCACGCTGACTCAGTGAGCGGCCTTCATCGTCACCTGATGTATGAAGGAATTACCTCGAAGACAAATCCGGTGCACTCAGATTAGGGTCCTGAATTCGTGTCTCCGATAGGCAACAACCATCAATTTCCAGAGAGTTTATCGTACGCGCAAGACCCACTTGTTGACCTAACTGCATCAGACTTCTCACGTCGAAGACCCCCAGACTCACAGGTTGTTGATGTTTCAGAATATGCAAGTTATTTAGTGATCAACTATTTACAGTACTATTTGGCAACGGGTAAACAAGTTGTCTGATGCAATGCTATAGGTCGTAAGAAGGGGCTGGGTACAGAAAACAAAGAGTTAAACAAAGGTTGGGATATCTGAACAGCAGCCCACTTATCCCTACCCACCCTGCTCGATGCAATGGACAGCGCGATCCTGATTATCCTGTGCGACAACCGATGCAGTATGGAATCATTTTGAGTTTATGCATGCAGTGGAGCTTTATGGACAGATACCACTATGAAAACCAACACATAGGCAGGAGAAAGATTAGGGTTCTCAATCAAAGCGTTGGGTTCAGACGAAAACCTTAGCATAAGGCAATGATATAATGCCATGGATTAATCCAAAAAGGGAATTAGAACCGTCCTAATTCTCTCATATAAAGTTCTTCCCCGGAACTTGACAACTGTCTGTTTGATTACATTTTATTGCAGAGCAATTGATACAAATTCTCGAAAACGCGTGTCAATTTGTCTTATGGATATTCCCACGAAATGTTGTCCAACATATGGTCAGTTTTTCAAGATGTCATAGTAGCCGTTGCGCAAGAGCAAACAGGTGCATCCTAACAGGGTATACACCAATTGTGGGATGGCAGAATGAAAAGCGGTCTCTGAGAAGTTACATTCTTCAATCGGAGAGGATCTACCAAAAAAAAGCGAAGGCGAGGGTTTATCTTCGGTTCTTTCAATATGGCCACTACTTCAGTTTTTAGAAGTTATCGCAGCTGACCCATACATGAAGCTTAAATATACCTGATTCGCGATTGCTAGGTAGGGCAAAGCTACTTCATGTTTTGAATTCCACTGGCTCCGTTATTTGTAGAATTTATCGGATGAACAATAAACTGTCCCACGAGGACTTAGAACGATTTAAATCCACCCTAACCATTACGCCTGTTCGCTTCCAATACTATCGGTTCTCAAACAAAACAGCCCAATTACACATGCATATACTCCACTGGACCACAATACAGCTCAACTGGTTATTTCATACGTTCGAAACGATTCTGCACAGACCATCTGCTCCAGCGTATTGCGACCAATTCAATTTAGAACTAGCCATCAGAACTGAAATAGTCTAATCAGCTGTCCTACAGTTGCAGTACAATTCTGTTCTACTTTTGTATTATACATCACTGTGTGATGAACAGCAGACGGGGAAAACTCCTTAGTCACGAAGACCCGCAGTTCAGTGATGGTCACCGGTACCATAAGACCAGGGGCTTGGAGTGGTAAACCGCCTAAGGCCCCTCTAGGCTTGGCATTAAACCGGACGACAGTAAAGCTGCCTACCACCAAATTTGGGTGGCGGTGGCGGGGTTCGAACCTTGGACCATAGGGTCCAAAGTACACCGGTGTCAGCGATCAAAAAGACTTCGCCACCACCATTGTGAGTTCTCGGGCTCAGTCGGCAGTACGATCAGTCGATGATGACTTCCAATAAATCTGACAGATCCATCGAAGTCAACCAAACCGTAAATCAAGGCCCCCACACACGTGGTCCGGAATTTCAGATCCTTACTAGTTGTTCACCATCTTCAATCATACTGTAAGTTTTCAGTTGTTAATATAGAAAAAAAAATTGTTTTCAGTTATCCCAACTTAATCTATTCATTGTAAGGAAAACACTGTTTTTGTTGTGGTTGTTGGTGATGAAGAGGTTATTGTTGTTGTTTACTGTAGGGCTATTCCCATCAGTTGCGAACCTGTTCTTCCATGTGTAAAGAATTTCTCACCGTTAAAGTCGCCCCTCATAAATCTATGGCTGATTAAAACAGATAAATCTACCGCAGTGGCTCAGAACGTGCACGATAACAAGACCACTAAACATATGAATCATGCACTTCAAGAAATTCCCCATCCCCTTCATCGTTCACCTTTGGAGTTCGTCGTTTATCTGGTCACATCGATTTTCTCGTTCACTCTTTATGCAGCTGACCCCACTGTCGTCAGTTTTCTCGCGCTACCTGGCGCGTTTCCTCTCCCAACCGCTTGCCACCCCCTATTTTCAACAGTTTTTCTCTCCCTCTGGCTACGATTGGTTGGCCTAAGTCGCATGTCCGCATTTATTTGTACTTAACCCCTATCCCCTAGGGGGAGGAGATATGCATTTTGTGCGCACGTGTACGCGTGTGTATGCATTCTGATTGGTTATCAGCACGGTGATAGGGACCGTGACGACAGTATTCTGAGGTGGCACTGAACTTAAACCGGACAAACTTGCTGCTTAAATTATTTATTAATTATCTTGATTAACAGTGTATGAACCGCTACAGTTACCCGAACGAGTTCGAGATGTCCAATCTGTACTTACCAACCACACAGTCTCGCTTGTCTGTTTCGCCGACGGAATTTTTCGGTACGCCGGCTTACGAATGCTTGCAACCGTTTTTGAATTCCAGTGAGATGGAATTGTGCCTGACCGATCCGTTTCGCAAAGCCTGTGCCATTTCTGCGGCAGCTGCCGTAGCCGCGGCTGCTGCCGAGCAAACAGTACAACCGAATTTCCACGCATATTCGGCCTACTACTATGATGCGATGATGTCCACACGGGAGACCGGACAATGTCTCGGTCTGTATTCGGATCCTTCAACTCTGGCGGCTGCGATCATGAGTAAGAAGACAATGTTGGACCACATGCAATGTGATCATGAACAACAGCGTGTGCAAATTCAGCCTAACAATCACGTCCCGCTCTCCAGTTCAGTACTGTCCACGATGGCGATGTCGCCATCCCCATCCTTGTCACTGTCTCGAGTCAGTGAACTCTATCCTCCAGATCTATCTGTGTCTACCACACAAACACCTCATCTATTTCCCACACAAATTGGTGCTGCTCGTCTGAAGACTCCAGCAAACAAACGGATGCACAACAAGCAGAGCTCACCGCGTCCGCATCGTGCATGGTCGTGTCAATGCTCCTGTCCCACGAATCCGGACTGGACTGGGGATTGTAGCGGAGGGGGCCGTGCGGTTAAAATACACTCTATCGAACACACAAATCCAATCGAACTGGATATGTTCGAAAATGTTGGCAGTGGAGCTTCGTTGCCTCCGTTTGAGTGTGCGAAAAGTTTCATACGCCGACGTAACGCCCGGGAACGAGAACGCGTTCGTTGTGTGAATGCCGGTTACGAGTTACTTCGTCGCAGATTACCATTGGCTTCAATGTCTGATCGCCGATTAGCTAAAGTGGAAATACTTCGTGGTGCAATCAGTTACATTAACTCGTTGAAAGATCTGTTAGAAAAAACACCGTGAACCTATTTATTGGAACAACAACTGTCACACGGCGCAATTGTGATACCCCCCCTCCATGATGTAACCATGCTGATAATTCCATTGGAAGACATGTTCTAACTCTGCCGCTCACAAGCTATTAACATTGGAGTTCCTCGTGATTCTGTGAAGCAGGAAGCGTATCAGCGCGGTATTGATCAAACTGTAAATTCTCTGGGTCCTGGACCCTATTGTATGTATGTATAAACAAACGTGATCTTATTGCAATTCAGTTATCAAATATGAAGTATATCTATTACCCTTTCACCTACGTATATGTTGTGGCTCATAAGGAAAGTATAGCTTCTGTTTGTGCTACAAATAGGCTTTCTAATGGTACCTGTACGCCGCAAGTTCTCGGTCAGATTTTGGACCAAGATTTCTGGAAAATTTTAAGTTTTCGTCCAATCGCATTTTGTTAAATAAAAGTAATGATGCAACAATATAAGTCGAATTCTCTAAGTAGGGTCGTTTAGGAGCAGAAGTCTTTTGTGTATGGAATCAAGTTTTCGAGCATCTTACCTCACATTTATTTGATCTCAGGTTAGCATATCGATAGAAAGTGATTAAAATTGGAATGGCTTGGAGTGTAAAATAATTCACTATGTATGCCTGCACTGGTCCGAGGAATAGGTTGTCAAAAACGAGCGTGTTCCATAAAACACTTATATTTCCTTTTTTCGTGGGCTAATACTAGTTAACTGCCCATCATATTCGTTTGCTAGTTAGTATTGCCGGTTTTACTGTTTGTTGCATAGCCCTAATGCTTCTTCCCAGTCAGACAAATAATTGAGGAGTTTGAGAATGCATGAGTTGTTTCGCCTGTGACAAATAACTAGCGTTGAGGATTGTAGTTAAGCGCCAACTCGTATTCTTACATAAATGTAGCGAAGGATTATTACATGATGAATTTCACATGTGCAATACAGCCATCGAGACGTGTATTGAAAAGCGAGGACAAATTGTACACTTCGCTGGCCCTGTACACGACGAACCTCACTATGCAATCCGGTTAAATCGTCCACTATTCTCATGTAACAAATTGTCAGAACCGGAAGAGGTTAGATGTTTGTACCAGGCTTTCAAAGATGGATTGGGCTACAGCGCGTATGAATAAATCGATAAACGATCTGCCTAGCTGGTTCTAGGTTCTAGTCTATGAGATGAACTGAAAAGCTAGGAAGCTTTATACAGCTGTTTCGACCTTCTGGAGAATCACCACTAGTGCAAATGCATTCAAATATGTGAAACAAAAATATATAACTCACTTGACCACTGGACAGATAAGTATATTGTTCCATTTGTTCTACACACGATGTATCATAACTCATTCTTTTTGTGAGTCAAAGATCTTGTTCCTTCAGATCCCGGGTTCGATACTCAGTTGCTGTAGCTCTGCACAAGATGAACTGTTTTGTACACTCGATCGGCGAATTCACTTTACTAACCAGATTTGTACAAATACAGTGACAGAACAGAGGTATCTCGTGATGCAATAAAGACAAATCATAAAGCGTATTCGAAGATAAACAGCATACAAGCAATGCGCTTATCAGCATTATAAAAGAATAATAATTTATGAATTCATAATTAGATCTGTAATTTCTTTAGAACACTTGAAACATCTATGGATGGGGTGGGAAAGGATGGTCAAGTATTATACTTTGCCGGCTCATGGATACGCAGTTCGTGTCTGAACTGCTCGATTTCCCGCTTTTCAACTCAATCTATCAACAATTAGGTAAGCCTTTTTCTCCATTAATAGGATATAAAAAGTACATAAAATAGGTTCTAAAATTTCCACTTTCAGAGTTATTCGTATTTAGGTTAAATTCAGAGTCAAATTCTATTTTGAGCAGCTTATGAAGTTCATCTCTCAAGAGTGATGAACCAGTGATTTTTCAACCACACTTTGATGAAGAACAATCATGAGATTGTTCTTCGAAAAGGGTGAGGGTGGGATGGTCTGTTTTTGTCCTAAAGACAGTAAACCCCACTGGAAATAATCTGCGGAAAAAATCATAGATATTTATGATAATATTCACCAGACTGAATGCATCCTGCCCTCTAAATTGCCAACTCATCCCCAAAATTATCTGTGTTTGATTGAATGCTGTGTGAACGAATCGCGCAATCAGATAGTGCAAGCAGTGTGCTTTCTCTAAGTTTAGAATTTTATAAGTTCGTCAATGGATTTCGGAACTACTGATGCACTGGACAATCATTCGCAAATATATTTGTATTTGTATTCAGGAGAAACGAGGGGGGAGGGGAGAGAGTGAACAACTATAGAAAAGGTATACTGGACCTCATACATTACGAGGAAATCCGATTAGCAGAATTGCCGTTTACGAAAATGAAATTAATAAGTGACGATAAAAGCAGAGTTTGTTGAAAAACCATGAATTTGTCTTCTTTTGGCGAAGCTTTTGCGGAGAAAATCCCCAGTCGATATCGTGATTTACTGAGTTTGGATTAGATTTGATCGGTGAAGATAGATTGTTCTTTGGTAACGTGTGAGAGAGAAGTTTCAGTCGCCTTTTTGACTTCAAACTTGGATTACCCAGGAAAGGATTGATTTATAAAAGATTTATTAAATAAAATTATTCTGAAAACAGGAAAGTCGTTACCGGATCGTCCGAATATATTGCATCGACCGCATGCTCAGGTCATAGATAGGTTGCTCGGCCACGAAATGAATTATCGCGGACGGTCAGCGTCAGTGCTAGAGAATCCGGTGAGTTTTTCATGGTTAGCGCTGTGACTTGGCAATCGATGCCCACCACTCAATAAGGCTACCGTTTCCGTCTAGTTTATGATATCCCAGAAAAGGAGAATGAATCGCACAATAAACCAGCGAATCATTCATTTTGGGGACGGTACGACGATTGCTGACTGACACGCGCGTCATGATTCCGCAACACTCCGAGAACGTGTGCGTGGTGACGAACTGATTGTGTATTGTAATGCTAACACTTTTGTGTCTTACAATAAGCCGTACATTACTGACTCAGAACATTAGGACACAACGTACCATCAGGTTGTACTTTTAAAAGATTCCCCAAAACCTGACATGCTATATTAGTTTCTATAGATGAAATTTACTGTGAAATGTAGCTTCTAAACAAAACGGCACATTTTGAAAAGTTTCCTCTCCTCAGGCAACGCTCGTAATACTTTATCATTGAGTACTGGCCGCCGCATCCATCTGATTGAACGATTTTAGAAACTCAGTGTTGGTTATAGTTTAGAATGAATAAGAAGTCCTTTATCAAGCAGAAGCTCCAGGTCTTGTAACTGTTGGCTTAAAGGAAATTAAAACAGATCTGCGGCGTAGTCATTTGAATTTTCGAGGAAGGTAACACAACATCGAAAACTGGTACATGGGCCACCCGAGTGCAACAAGAAAATTTGCTATATTACAAGTAAATAAAAAATTTATGATTATGTAAATAATGCACTTTACCGTTGATCAATACGAATGCGGGAACAGAATGGGAAATTTCTCTTATCCGAAAGTGTAATCTAAAGAAAAGCTATTGTTTTAGGTCAAATCGACTTTTAAGCACCTTACGGATGATTTGCTGAAACGAAACGTTTTGATTGAATGTATACAATGAGACAGGAAATTGCTGATTCAATAGATGTTGCAAACGTAACCAAAAGAGACGTGATAGAGCATCTTGATACAATCCGTAATGCGCTGAAGAAATCGGGATTCATTCCGTTGTTGAAATTTCCTTGGTCTCAAAGACAAATGATTAATCCCCTCCATAAAATTTATAAAATCAACTGCTTGGTCAGGCTAGAATATAACATACTTCTGTTGTTCAAGTATTAGCCAAAGCAACTTCAGGAAAATTTTCCTTGAACTATTAATAATCTTGACTGGAACAGAAGATAACAGCTTTGGTATTCACTTTTTCCCTTAAACATTAATCAAATCTGAAGAATACACGTTACTTATGGTGGCAATTTATGTGTACTGCTTTTTAAGATCTATAAAGCTGTAATGCATAGAGATTCAAACAGTGAGAATGTGGAAATATTTCACGAGTGACTATTTTATATTGTGGTGGTGTAAAGTTTTAGAGACTCCAAGCTACTTAAAAAAGCGAGGCAGCATTAGCAGTGCTTTGAATAACTGCAATTTGTAATCACACCTTAGACTCAGCGCAGATCAATACTCAACTCTCCGTGACTCCTCTCACCGCTAAAATTCAGGCGATCGGAACTACTTACTCAGATATTGAAGCTTACACCAGAGATGAAACCAGTTAAAGTAAATTGTGTTGCTTCCAATTGGTTCTCGTCAGTAGTACGAATCCATCGACCCAACTGGGGATTTAATACGGGGCATCACGGGTAGAACGCAAGCATACTATCCACCAGACCACCGGGCAGCTGGTCAGACAGTTTTTCATTTTCCTTATGTTTCACAACCCATATTTGTGAGCTCAATACAAGCATTACACCTTGAGCAGCGGTGCTAGTACCTAGAGGGTCGAAAAGCTTTACGATCAGAAATAACGCGTACAGGTATGTGGTCTTGAAGTGCTTTCTAGGAGACGATAGCTGGCCCTGCGATAGAATTTTAATATCCAATAGAAATACACATTGGTACCATTGAAAGATTAATTAGTTTGGAACAGGTGCTAAATTAATCTAGGGTGGGGGGTATGGTGAACTGTTTTTTTTTTCAGTTCAATTTGGACAAGTCATGGAAGGGACGAACTAGAGGCGGTAGCTGTTTCTTCGTATAGATCTCTGCCCCTTCCCACCCCAGCACGCACAAGGGCATATTCACTGGGAACGATATCTGGTCAATTAAAATGATTATTCTCAACGCAGAAAGTTAGTCCAGTTTAGTAAATCACAAAGTTGTTAAACTGCAAACTTCATGCGTACTTTTACAGACGTAACAACAATTTGGCGGGACTAGCACAAAACTCTAACCATCAGAGTACGGAACTTTCTGCGGA